GAAAATTTAAAGTAGCCTCCAAGGCTTATATTATATTCCTATTAGACAGCACTGTTCTGGAAGTAAAAAGGACTTCATGTTAATAAGACTAACCCTCCATGGAAGGCAGTTTAAGGATAATCTTCTAAGAAGCTAATCAAATTGCTTCTTACAAAAAGAAAACAAAACACAGAAACTTTGACCCAAAAGGGATTTAAAAGCCAGGTGTTAAACGAGCAAAATATTTCTCCATCTCATTACGTATGCTACCTCTTTATGAAGAATTTTGCCCCATGCCAATTATCAGTACTGGGAAAGAAGAGGAGTCAGGGCTGGTGTCCAGGTGGCCCAGTTCTGTGAACCTCTATCCATTTAGGAGACAGCAGAGAAAAGCTGATAGCCCTGGAAGTCAAGCAACCTACAGGGGAACTGAATCTATAACCATAGCCTCATTAGCACAGCCTATAGCTCCCATTGCATCCTGTAGTTAATTCCCTTATCAGTAACACAAATCACACTGTAATTACTTGTGTAATTAATTATCTCCACCACACAAGGCTGTGAGCTTTGTGAGGGCAGGGATCCATGTGTCTTGTCATCCACATATCCACAATACACAGTAGCATGCAGAATAAGTGCTCAGTAAGTATTTGTTAAATGGATATTTAATGAAAATCAAATAAACTAGTTTTTCTGCTCAGTGCATCTGGAACCATATATCTATCAATGAACTTCCTAGTTTGAAAATGCTATATAACCTATTCCTTATGGAAGAGCTAGAAAAGTGACAACTGATGACTATATATAAATGGATGATTCTAATGATAGTAGATGATATTAATAAGAATATTAATAGCTAACTTTTACTAAGTGTTTGTCAAATAATAGGTGTTGTACTAACCATTTAACCATCTTTAAACATCTTTCACTTACTCATCACCACAATTTACCACGTAGATACTACTGTCATTCCCATTTCACAGATGGGGAGATTGAGACTTAGAGAATTTAAGCAATTTGCACAAAGACACTCTAAGAGTAAGGGGTGGCGCAAGGATTTAAATTTAATCTGACACTAAAACCTAAGGCTTAACTATGCAAGATGATTCTTCACAGACCAACACGCTGCCGCTAATTTTTTTGTCATTTTTGGGTGAGACACACGGGGTTTCACCATGGTGGCCCAGGCGGTTGTACTCTGATCACGTCTGCCCACTCAGCTAAAAGGTGCAATTACAGGCGTCGACCACCCACACACCAAACCACATATTTCTTCTGAAGTATTGCCTCCAAGTTGAAGGATCACACTTTATGCTAAATCAGACGACGTGTGACCAATGCACCATGACAAAGTATGGGAATCCACTGCTCTACGTAGTATTGTGTTTGTGTCACACTGAGGCAATGGGCCTGATAGAGACAGTGACATTGCTTTGTGAACGTCAGCCAAAGTCTCCTGTTCCGGACATGTGCTCAGATAGGGTGTGCAGATGCCATCACTCATGAGTACACCACACACACAACAACACACACACACACCCACCCTGGCCTTGGAAGTTTGGTGGAAGATAATAACAAACCAGGCAAGATCCACTAATGGGGAAATGGCACCCTGTGGATAAATGCCTGCCCTTCCAATTTCCCAGGGCAATTTATCTTCTTTCTTTTTTTTTTTTTTTTTGGGACGTGTTTTTCTTACGTTATTTTTAGGATTGTCCTAGATAATCAAGTCCTGTGGATTGTGGAAGAGAAGAAAGAGAATACCAACAGTCAAGGAATCTTAGGAAGCAGCAGCTATTGACATATGGATGGTCCAGGAAAGGGGGGGGGGGGGGGGCCGGCGCCGGGCGGGGGGGGGGGGCGGGGTATCAGTCCTTCCTAAAAGCCAGCTGAAGACCAACTGCTTTATAGGCAGGAACGGAGTGATCAACCAATGTCCGTTCGTCGTCAATTGGTCGTTACTAGTCATGTG